TTTTTTTTTTTTTTTTTTTTTCACGTGTGCTTTCATTTCCCGATTTGCAATAAACAGTGATCCAGTGAAATAACTTCTGCCTTTCTTCGGTCTTTCTTTATCTGAATAGACCTCTCGAGCTATATAAAAGGTGTATACATGTAGCAGGTGCGGATAGAGGTCGTCTTCTGAGTCCTTTGGAAGACGGGCAGATTTCCAAGTTTACTTTGATGAGTATAATTTTTTTTCTGTCGGAAGACGGCCAAAAATGGAGGATGGATCAACAAAAATAATTTGGAAGACTGTCAGAAAATATCTCGTTTCCCAGAGTGACGTCACTGATAAGGAAAGTGGGTGAGTCGTTTTAGTCGTCTAAAATTTGTGCTTAGTTCAAAATTGACTAAAAATATAACTCAATATTTTACGAAATGTATAACGAAAAAAGGTTATGCCTATCAATGATATGTATTTCGTTCTTTGATTCGGCGGCTATCTTAATCAATATTTTAAAATAATATCACTTGTTGCAAAAAGTGTTGACATCTGGATAAACAAGGCACATTGTAATTAAAATTTGTAGATAGCTCACAGTTATGTATAAAAAGTGAAATGAATTAATGGCTTTATCCATTTTTAGTGAAAAATGTTGGCAACCACTAGGGAATTATCAAATTGCACTGAAATGATACCATACAGTAAAGGAATTAGTATCTTATTTCTGGTGCATATTTTGTATATCTGTACCATTAATCAAGTAAGATATGATGACTTGAATATAAATACACTGTGACAATTTACAACTGTGAGGTGATCATTTGTAAAAAAGTACACGGATCGAACTGGAGGTGAGACATCATATTTGTCTGTATATTTCAATGAGGATTGGCTATATCTAGCCTTGGATAGTTTCAGTTGACCAACATAATTTGATAACCATGCTGAATAGTGCCCCTAGGAGAAAAGAACTTAGTAAGAACAGAAAAAAATCATAGAATTCTAGGTTCCAAAAATTTAGCTTGGACTAGAACAATTTGTATCATTTTAGACTACAAACACATTTTGGTGTAGGTATGTTGTAATTTTAATCTCTAAAACATTGACCAAATTTTGATGCCAATTATCCAAACCTGGGCACAGACTCGAAATCAAATGAATAAATTATAATATGAATTAGGATTTTTAAGATTAACAAAACAGCTTGTATACAAGGTCACTTACCGCCAATACGTATTCCCCATAAAACATTGAATTGGTTTTATCAAGAGTTCCTGTATACCCAGTTCCATAAACCTGAATGCTGTTAATGACCTCAATCACCCAGCCCGCGTTAGAAAGGAACTCTCTTGCCGTACAGTCTGTAATGTAACAAATTGTCAAATAACCATTTTATTCACTTAGACGACATAAAAATATTCAATTTTCCTCCCTACTAATAACAAAATGGGGAAAAATTATGCTCTGTGCATTGATACAAAATATTAGTAGAATCAGATTACTCAAATCGGATACATACATTTTTAGTCACCAGCAAAACGTTTTCATCAGACTTCCCTTCTCAAATTACAAATCTGTTCCTACCATTAAGAAGGCTGCATTTTGCATTTGGGTTTAGGTGGTAGGGGTGAAACACCATCCTTCCCCCCTCTAATAGGACACGTCCATCTAGTATATCAGAATCGGTCACGGCAGACATATTTATTCCATAGTGGTCGCCAAAATATTTCACTGCATCCCTTCCAAATTCAACTATGGTCTGGTTGCTGCAAAAGTAAATGTGCTACAGCTGTACGTCGATATATTATATGTTCAGTCACACACACCACTCTCCATCTGTGCTGTAAGTACTGAAATATAAGTACATTAATTTACATTAGTAATAGTCTTAGTAGACAATTCTTTTCACCAGTGAAGACAATAATTTGTTGTCAACAGTATTTCACAAAATAGCCTCCTTGCCTTTAAGATAAAATAAAGTACACAAGCGCCATACTAATGGTACTCACTCTGTTCTCCCGGCACAGGCATGATGTTGCATAAATCTGGTGCGGTTTTTTTCTAGCCCTGTCCATATT